GGCCTTGGAAGATGTCGCTTGTAATCTGATTGTGAACGACGCTTTACCTGTAAAAAACTGGAAGCTGACTCTGGTTCTTTGTAGTGGTCAAATGTTGCCGAGTTTAAGATGCTGCGAAGATTTCCAAAGGCGGTAGCAGTTGTGGATCACAGATCACTTGGGATGCAAAAAGGTACGTTATCCATAAACATGATAAAGACGATATCTCCTTATCAATTGTTTACTAAGCATCTCCATTTAGAAGCGTGCAATGAATATTTTGTTAGTCTTAGGCACTGGATCTTAAGTAACGTGATTCTTTCGTATTAAAGTGGCAATGCGCCACCAGAACTAGCTGTTGGACACCATGACAGCATTGCCAAATGTGTGGTTGGGGCAACTCATTTTAGATGGCCTCTTGAGCTATAATGAGTTTGAGATGCTTTGCTTGTTATCTTGGGCACACATTATGCATGCATTTGGCTTCGCTGTCTAAGTGTTCGGTTGAAAAAGAAGATACTGTAATCTCGAATGGTCTTATTATCAAAATTTTCTGAACATGAACGTTATAATGGATGCAGAGTATGGTGTAAAAGGCATTCAGATAACTATATGATATGAAATACGAGTTTACGAGGACTGAAACTAAAGTAGAAGACTAATCTAGATATGACATTTTAGAGAGAAAATTAAAACATATCACTAACTAAATTAAAATAGGATGATATTACAAATGATCATCAAACTATGATAAAATGAAATTTTTAGTCATTTAACTTTTTAAAAGCTATAAAATAAGCATGGAATTTTAGGTTTTCTTAAAAATATAAGCACCAACCATTTATCCTTAAAGGTTAAAGGATAATGTGATATTTTATATTAATAAAAAAATATCTTCTTTGATCCCCAATTGCAATTAATCTTTTTTATATTTTTCTTTCATTATTTTTAAGTAGGAATTTCAAAAAAATAAAAAAGTTTTATTTTTTAAAAAAATATTGAAATTCAGAATTTATTTTTAAAATTTATTTTTTAAAAAAATATATTTTTCTTTTTAAACTCAATTTTCTTTATTTATAAAGTTAGGAATCAAATTTAGATAATATTATCTCGCTAGTTAATAAAATAAATTTTATTAAAATAAAATAAAATTAATACAATTAAAATCATGCTAAAACAAAATTTAAAATAATATGTTTTGTTCAACTAATTATTTTGGATTTTCATTTCTATCGGTTAATTTTAAAGTTTTAAATATTTTTAAACTCGTTGCTGTCGTTTGTCTTATTGAATAGGGAGAAATACTTACAAATATTAAAACCACATAAGAATAGAAAGGACCAAATAAGGAAAGTTAAAAATTCAACTAAAATAAGAATACATACAATAATGATGTTTTGTCGACACATTAATATTATCACAATTTAATTACGATATATCTTCAATGATTACGAGAATTTATAAATATCTAGTACGAGGGTCTAAAGCAAAAATAATTCAACAAGATTATTAAATAAATATCATATGGACCTAGAAAGGTGACATCAAATTCAATCTTAAAAAATATGTGTTACAAAAACATGCAAAAACAGGTGCTAACAAAATAGATAAAACCATCTACAATTTCAAACGAAGAAGGAAGATTAATTAAATAAAATAAATAACATAACATAAATTATTAGAAATGAAACAGAAGAAAAAGAAAAGAAAAGAAAAGTATCTGGTCATTAGTCCAAAGCTAGTACCGTAGTTGACGATGAAAAAAAATATAAAATTATTATTAAATCGACATAACATATTAAAATTTAAGGGTTAAATTTATTATCATACCGATAGAAATTATGTAAAATTGAAAGAAATATTAAAATCAAATTAATCGTTTTTAATTGTTTACTTTTAAAATGGGAAAAGATTAAAATCGAACTAAGAATAATTTTCTCCTTAGAGAATTCGAGTTTGAACAATTACGTCTGTAGGGTCTGTGTACGTTATGAATAGACTAATTTTTTAAAATAAATACTACACGATCCTTATATCATCCTAGACTATTCAATAATAATAATAATACTTATTTGGATTTATATAATGATACTTGAATTTAATACAAATAAATGAATTTTGATTTTAAAATAGACCTGTCTATAATAATACTATAGAAATTTATACATATCGACGTTTAGAGGGCAATTTAGGTATTAAAATCTAAATCAATTAAAAATATATCTGATTAAGAGTGATTACACAGTTAATTAAGAATAGCAAGTACATTATTATACAAGTCCTTGATGGTATGAATTAAACTTGTATAAAACCACAATGCAGATAGGAAGTTGATCTAACAAAAAGACCCTCTCTACCAATTGCTTCATCCATTCTCCAATCCCCTTACATATAAATACATACCACAATTGCTTCTTCTTTGCAGCCAGCACCAATCTACTTCTCTCCACACTCTGAGCCATAAACTCATCCACCCATGGCATTCAACCACTTCCCTTCCTTCCTTGTATCCACGTTATTCATCGCTTTATTGTCATTCAACGCCCATACCTCCTTAGTTAAGGCACGAAATCTGCAAGAGATACCAGAATTGCCTAAGCCTGAATTGCCACCGTTCCCTGAGATCCCTGAGTTGCCTAAACTGCCTCCGTTGCCAGAGATTCCCGACCTTCCTAAGCCCGAATTGCCGACCATCCCAACACTGCCCAAAGACCTTCTCTCATCTCTTTCTCTATATATATACATATACATATATATATAATTAATAGTAATGGTTAAACTTCTTATATGCGTGGCAAGAAATGGATTGATGTAGTAGATGTTGTTTGCATGAATTTATCTTAGATCGTGGATGATACATGCATGCATGCATGTAATATCAATATATGTAATGTGTGGAATACATTTAAGAAAAGAATGTTATGTGTATCTATATATATATATATATATATGCATGATGCTTTTTCTTTGATTTTACACCATGTTTCAGCTTTTATATATGTATAATTTCAATTACATCTCTTTCTTTGATCGAATGATTTTTCTTTTCTTTTCCGATATTTATTTTCTTCGATTTCTCAATAGTGTCAATAATGACGAATAATTTGACTTTAACCATACTAAGTGGGCCGTCCATGGCATGGGGTCAGAATGAAATTAATATTTTTTTAGGGGAGAGCTAAAATTTTGTATAAAAATGTCTAAAATAGAAGCTTAATTTTCTAGGGGGACCAAATAAGAATTTATCTATTTTTGCAAGGGGCCTATGTGCTCCCTTGTTCATGGGCTAGACAATTCCATCGAGACAATCCTTAAGATATTTTTGATTTTAGATTGTACCGGTCTAATCCGAATTCAAAATTATATAAAAAAACAAAAAATTCAATCAAATAATCTTTTCTAAAAAATATATAGGTAAATAAACATTATCATCCACAACAATGATAAATATTATCAACACTTATATAATAATAAAACATGACAATACAATCACGTTAATAGTCAATTATATCATAATTCAATCACAATATATCTAAGACGACTGTAAACATTCACTTAATAATGAATTAATTACTTAAATTCATAAAATCGAAATTAAATATAAGATTTCCACACTCTTAAAACTAAATGAAAGAATCATAAAATCAATTTCCTACTAAACATAAGAGGGAGATCAAAAGGTACTAATTCATTTTAACAATGGAATACAAGGATTGATAAAGCAAGAATTATTGTTTTGTAAAGAATCAAAAAAAAAAGTTTAGAAAGATAAATATTATCACTTTTTCATTCCCACTAACTTTTAGAATACAACAATATTTCTTTCTTAATATAATCAAACAAGAAAGAACATAAAAATATTATGTTAGAGAGGATGAACTTATAAATTTTAAAGATACGAAAATAAATTATCAATAAAAAAATAAAATATCTAAAATATGTAAAAATTTAAAACTATCAAGAGTTGACTGCTCTCACCCGTCCCCTTCTAGTCCATCCCTGTAACCAAGGAAGATTAACAACCCTAACTACTTTATACTAATGACATTCTCCTATAGGAGTATTTTTGGGTGTTGGCTTTTAGTGTTATTCTGGTTGGCTAATTTTGTACCTTCGTACAAGCATTTTCCTTTTATAATAAAAATAAACTTTATGTAGTAGCACCCAATTCTTGAGAAGAATGTGCTCTCAATTTTTTCCTTAATTCGTTGAAGAATGCTGCTGATGGAGGATTTGTTAGAACATTTTCAATTTAATCAACAATTGAAACGTAGAACATATCACCCATTATCTTTTCTCGAACGAAGCATAAATCAAATTCTACATGTTTCATCTTTGCATGGTTCATAGATGGGCAGTACAAGCAATTGCACTAGTATTATCCCACCATAAAACAAGAGATGAAGTAAGCTTAGTATGAGAATAGATGATAATGACTACTATATGCATGTTTTCTTTCGACTAAATTGTTTTGTTTATAGTGTGGAGGACAAGTCCTTCTATGTTCTATGCCTTGTTGAAGATATATAAGTGATCAATGTTGGAAAATTGTGATAAATTAGAAACTTTGAGCTATATTTATTATGGTTAAAGGTGGAGATTCAAATGATGAATCTATTGATTCATATTCTACCACATGACCTTTACAATGACATCTCACATGCTCAAAACTTCAATGCCTATATAAACCCAACCCGCTCAAACTAATTTTAAGCTCCAATGTCCACGAGAAGATGAACTACCAAACGAGTAATGTGACAAAGCTTTCTATTTCCAAACATAGATGATCAAATATCACCACAACTTGAGTGGCCAATTCCCCCTTCTCCAAGGCCTATATAAACCCAACCCCATGCTTTATCTTCTTCGCTCAAAACTATTAAGAGAAACTTCCTTTCATCTGCTTAATTAATTAGTTTGAAATCTGTGGAACAATAATGGCCTCTTTCAATTTTTTGTTTAGCATTCTTCATGGCTCTGTCATTTTCAAGCATTAATGTTAGCCAAGCTGCTCGTCACCTTCAGCAATTTCCCCCAATGCCAACTTTACCTACAACATTGCCGCCATTGCCATCAATCCCAACAATTCCAGCATTGCCAAAGCCAGGGGCTCTTCCTTCACTTCCAAGCATGCCTACTTTCCCACAGTGCCTACACTGCCTCCTCTACCATGCATGCCAACCACAATTATTTTAGTGTCAATTTTTGTTTATGTTTTAGTACGTGCATTAATAATAAACTCAATCGATCTGAACATAAAAAGTTAAGAAATCAATTCTAGATTTGATTCAATCAAGTTAACCTTAATAAATAAATAAATTGAACTAGCCTAAGATTAACCACAAATTAAATAAAACCCAAAATAATTCAATCTTGAAATAATATTCCAAATGATCCAAATTCGAAATGGTCATAATGACTCAATCCACAAAACTGTTAGTTCTAAACAACCAAACGACATGATATATTTCTGTTAACGTGTGTCGACGTGGAAGCAAATTTTTTCCCCATTTTCGTTGGTGTTGAACTATGTTTTATAATATTTTGATATATAAAAGGCAAAATGTTTTTCAGTTTGATTGAATTTGTTCAAAGTTTTTAAAAATAATTCAAAGTTCATTAAACTAGAATTTGAACACAAAACAGTTTTATGGGTACTTAGTACCGATATTGTTCTTACAATATTAATACTACATTAGCAATATTGATATTGTTCATGTGGTACCGATACCAAAGGTAAGAGTAGTATCGATAATCTCTTGGTAGTAACGATACTACCGGTTGTTTTCCAAATTGTTCAAATTCCAGAATATCAAATTGGTATCGATACTACTTTACACAGTGGTATCGATACCATGAATCCTAGTATCGATATTGGTTGAGCCCAACGGTCTTTAACGTCTAGTTTATTTAAATATTACAAAGGTAATACTAATACTCATTAAAGTAATACTGATACTCATTAAAGCAATACCGATACTCCCTGTTCTAGATATTTTTACTTTTGCAGAAAATTCATCCCCAATAGCTAGAAACGACCACAAACTCATTCCAACATATAAAAATCAAGTTTTGGATACTTGAAAAATGTTACAACACCTATCCAAGCAATAGATGTTGCTTATTTACATATTTGTGAACTTAATTCTTGTGAACAACTACCTTTGTGAGGTTTTCTTATTTACATATTTTAACCTTTGTAAAAGTGGAGTGGTTCTAGTTTAGCCATTGAAAAATTAAGGGTTTAGTAAATGTTACTCTTGAGTCTATAAAAAGAAAGAACAAATTAATGAATTTGTTAGAAAATCCTTAGTGTGAAGCTATATAGTGGACTTTAGACTTGGTTAAGAAGTCGAGTCACTATAAATCATTGTGCAAATTATTTATCTATTTTACTCCATACACAAATTTTTCAAAAGGCCAATTCACCCCATCTTGACACTTTTTCGTTGATCAATTGAGCTTCATCAATCCTAACTGTTGGCGTGACTTAATTTTCTTCTTCATTATTCCTCTACATCTTCTTACCAAGTTATGGTGTCCCCATTTTTAACCACATCTAGAAACCTCCCTTCTTTGAAATCTTTTGCGACCATTCTAATAAATGATAAATTTATCTCATCGTTCTTACCATTTTATCTATTTAGATTATTCCAAAATCTATTTATAACATAAGTAATTACATAAAACACCATTTTTTTGTTTTGAGGGATTTGTTGAATTCGAATAGTGAGAAACATTTTTTGAGAAGACAAACTACATATCTTGAAACTAGTCGTAGCATGTTATTGTCATTAGACATCAAAGATTAAAAGTCAAAACTTTGGATAGATTTTCGTTAATTTTAAGTGAGTTTCAAAGAAATCAAATTGAGAAAAAGAAGAAAGGAAAAATAAAAACATTTTGTATCAATTTTTTGTGAAATGCGATCGACAAACGATGATCAAATGGTGACAATAATCAATGAGTGGTTAGGGTTAGGGTTAGGGTTTTTCTAGAAAAATGGGAAAACATGCCACGTCATAAGGAAATTAAGATTTAACATACCATTGACTAAAAATAATAATTTGAAAACATTAGTGTTATAATCGAAAATTTCCTTATTTTAGGTAATTTTTCTGGGTTTTTAAAAATATGTTATGATATTATTTGAAGTTTTAACTATTTTAAAGTTTTTTGAGCAAAAAATATCACGTGATAAAACATGATTGGACCATGATTTTGTTCAACCTAAACTACCAAGGGACTGACAACGCTAACAAAATGAAAAGTATGAGAACTAAATTGACCGAAAAAATAAAATGGTCAAAGTTCGAATTTCCCTAAAGCAGGGGCTAATGTAGATATTATTAAGCCATTGAAATCATTTATAGTTCAACAACCAAATGAAAACACAGTTAAAGTTCATGAACTAATGGGATAGTTTAAGCTTAATTAATTAAGTTGTACTTTGAGGTGGCTAACCACAACTGCATTTCACCCAGTTTTGAACTCCGCTGTCCACGAGAAGATGAGCTACCAAAAATGTTCAAATTGACCAATATTTCCATTTTCCAACCATAAATGATCAGATATCACCAGCTCCCTTCTCCAACACCTATATAAACCCAACATCACTCTTTGTCTTCCTCAATCCAAACTATTACAACTTCCTTTCATCTGCTTAATTAGTTTGAAATCTGTGGAACAATAATGGCTTCTTTCAGTTGCTTTGTTTTAGCATCCTTCATGGCTCTTTCATTTTCAAGCATTAATGTTAGCCTTGCTGCTCGTCATCTACAGCAACTGCCTCAATTGCCTCCAATGCCAACGTTGCCGCCATTGCCATCAATCCCAACGATTCCAGCATTGCCAAAGCCAGGGGCTCTTCCCCTACTTCCAAGCATGCCTACTTTTCCCACTTTGCCTACACTGTCTCCTCTACCAAGCATCCCTTCAATCCCAACCACCATTCCTTCTATTCCATTCCTTTCTCCACCACCTGCTCCTTCTACTCCTTGAATACCCCATTTTCTGTATCCGTTCACAGATATGATTTCCTGCATTTTGGATTTGATTAAATGTGTTCTAGTCGTAGCATATTGCTACATATTTCTTTCTTTTCGTCTTTGCTCGTTGATTTTGAGAATTATTGTTCTTCTTTTTTATTCATATATATTTGTTTGTAGAAATGGGAGTTACCACATTCCCATTGTTTGTTGTGCTTTGATACGTTATTTGATTGTGATGAGATTATCATATATTTACGTTCTTTCCAATAAATAATTTAATTATTGAATTCATTATTAAAATAAAAAACCTAATAAATGCAAACAAAATAAATAAAAAATTCAAGCCTAATCTATAAATTAAATTATTTTAGTGTTACTTTTTTCTTATGTTTTAGTACATGATCATTAAAAAAAGTAGTACATGAGTTAAACAATAAATATAATTGAGCTGAATATGAAAAGTTAACAAATCAAATCTAGATTTGATACATTATTTATCTTAAGAAATCAAGTGACACATGTCACTTCTTAATTGAAGGATTAATTTATTAAATTAATTAAGATCAAATTGATTGAATGTACAAGTATTAAGGATCAAATGTGTAATTATATTAATTTGTTAACTACCGCATCAACACTTCAGTTAAATGTTAACGTAGGTGACTTAATTAAAACTACTAAATATTTATGTGGTTATTGACAAAATTAAAAGTATAGTTGTTATACAGACATCAACCCCATAGTTAATGATCATGTGATAGTTTACCTTAAATTTAATACCCATTTTATAGCATTTAAGGAGCAAAATAAAAAATAGGTCCGATAGTAAGAAATTGTTGTTATTATCAGGCTCGAATATAATGAAGACTAGAAGTTTGAGTTTTCAATGTAAAATGATTAAGAATTGCCTTTAACAAATTCTATTTATACTTACCTATTTTAATAAAAAAAAATCATGATTTCAACAAAAAATAGTTTTAGTGAACAGTTGTTACTTTGTTGTGTGACACTTTCATAAAGTTTTAAGGAAGAAAGAAAAAGCATCGATAACATGATGAAAATGTAGAGGTAAAGCGCACACGCTCCTTTCTTTCATCGTGTCCATGGGATTCACATCTTCTCTTAATTTTCAGTCTTCCTTAAGAGTTTTTAAGCAATTTTTTTTTATGAAATCGAATTTCTCCATCTTCTAGGTGTTTTTTCAGCATGTTCATCTGCAGTTGATATTCCCAACCACGTCGTGGTTTCAAACGTTGTCATTTTAGCAAATCTCCAAGTTTCTTTCCACCCACTGCTCCATGCAGATGTCTGTTTCGGCTTCGACATCTTATCAAATTGTCGCTGCAAATTATCCATCTCCTGTTGGAGCTCGACATACTTGGACTTCACGCTCTCGAGCTCGAACTTGAGTGTGTTGATATCTTTCTTAGCGGCAGTCCACCCTTCTTGGAACGATTGTGGTGTCCCTTCCAGTAAGGTCTTGCGGTTGGGTATCAGTGGCTGGCCCTGAGTTTCCGCAGGGTGTTTGAGTGCGGTGGTGTTGGCCAAAGCGTTGCTGATTTCACTTGCTCCGAAAGCACCTGGACCACGACTCGCAGTGGGAGCCTTTCGTTTTGAGCTGCGTGCATGCAGGCATCAATGGAGAGCTTTTGGCAGTCCATTACACGGCAGAGTCGTTTCCTTTCATGCTCCGACAGGGTTGGATGGGCCTGTAGATAAATCGGTATTACATGCTATTAATTTACCTGGAAATAATTGTATATACGTCCGCCATTAATATTTTACTCTCTTTTTTTTAAAAGAAATATGTTTTGATACAGGATTACCTTAAGATAGGAATCAATTGCTCGATAAAGTCCATCATCGCACGTCCTTGCAGACTCGGGCAAAGCTTCAGCCAGTACCTGAAACTTCGTCATCGACAAGTTTCTATCTCTTGAAACCTCTGTGAGGTAACTATCAACAACATTCCGATTATTTCCCCTTTGTGTTCCTTCATAAATGTGCTTGTCTGAAAAAACCCGTCGACTCGGGCTCGAACCATCCGTCTGTTTCCTGGACAAGGAAATGCTCCAACAGCCTCTGAACAAGGTCACATCGTACAATGTCTCACTTCTGTTATAACTAGGAATTAGAAGATCCGGCATTGTTGCCTGCTCAAATTGCATCCCGACTCACTTCTCCAACTCGGTCACCAAAGCAGGTGCCACTTTCAACATGTTTGCAGTTTGCAAAAGCCGGAGAAGAAAACTGCAGGATACGCTTTCTTTCTGCAGAGGTATGATGCTAATGAGGCTTTCAACAATTGTCCGTTGATCTTTGGCTTGGATCAAGACATCGTCATCTTTAGTTCTGGCATCGATCATATTGAATCCACCTTATTACTACGGCTGCTCATGCTCATACCGTCTGCTTGAACCTCACTATTATTGGTAATCAAACACGGAAGCCATCTGGCAGTATAGTGCATTATCGCTGCCCCAATCAACTCAAGCCTCATTCCTTTCGCTTTGATCGCTGTAATTACCCTCACAAAGTGATCAATCCTGAGGATCGAAACATCTTCAAACCACCAATCAGAGGAACTGCTGGTTCCTACTAGGACTCGAATCCTTCAAATCATTCCATTTGGGACTAGAAACATTACTCAGTTTCCCGGTGTATGCCCATTTGATTCCTTTGGATTGGCACAAGCCTTCCAAGCTATCGACTCACTGCATCGTCTCGCAATTTGAAGGTTTTCAGCCCAAGGTGAGAGCTCTTCACAATTTTTGAGAACAACAATGGAATCCCTCCATGAAGATAACACCACATAACTGAGGAATGCTTCGGTTTTGAATATGAGATTTCCTTCTTCAAAATCCTCAGTCATCTCAAGATACTCGGCGGCACATCCTAGACCGGATATATTCTCTGCCGTTAAGTCCACTGCAATTCCATAGCAGAACTTGGTTGCTAGCGCAAAAACTTCAGGCCCTCCCGGAAGATCTTCCAAAGCAAATTTGTCGAGGTCTCGGTCTTTCCAATCGTATACGAACCTATTCATTTTTCCACTTCGGGAAAGTAGAGGATACTATAAAATAGTGAAAATAAGGTAAGTGAAATAATTTTAGACCAACAGAGAGAGAAAAAAAAAAGCTTTTTGAGGAGTTTTTTCAAACATGTTGTAAACAGAAAAAAAAAAGCTACCTTGTGTATGTGAAAATTGACATCTCCAACCTGAACTAGAAGATCACTTGGAATATCAGTGGCAACGTACCTGTAAAACATAATTGTTTTCAATAGCATAAGTGTGCGTATATACGTATATATGCATGTATATATACCAGGACTGGCCCTTAAGCTGGAACCCATTCCCAAATTCTCTCCCTCTAGCAGATTCAGTCTCGGATTCCCACATATTTTGTAATACGAAAATCACAAGAGGAATTCGAAACAGGGTTTTGCTTCTTCTTCTTCTTCTTCTTCTTCTTCTTCTTCTTCTTCTTCTTCTTTTCTCGGGGGAGACTGATCATACACAAAAATGCTAAGAACTGAACAAGGAAGACAGTCTGTATAGGTTATGTGGGAGAGAAGAATGAAAATAAAAGTATCCCACATGGGATGCTAGGAAATTATATTGAACTGTCGCCTTTCTCCGGATTTTAAGACATTCTGTAGTGAAGTAAACTTTTACTGTTTTGGTATCATTTTGTTCTTCAGCTTCCCCCCCCCCCCACATTAATTTTCTTTTTTATTTTCTACCCATTCTCCATTGTTAATATCATATAGCTCTATCAAATACTTTAATCAATTAGTATCGGTGCAATTCTCTCACTCTCAGTTTATATATGAATAAATTCAAGACACTTTTATTGTTATAATATTTAGATCTTAAAATTTTGACTTTGTATTTAATAGAAAAACACTACAACTAATGTTTGATATTAGGATGCTGGTATTTTTTATTTAATTTTCGGATTGCATGTTTCTCTTTAGTATAATAAGATAAAATAATTGAATCTATGATGGGTTGAGTAAAATTCGACTCGTAATTTTATAAATTCGAATTAAAAAAAATAGAATTTAAGTCGAGTTATAACATAAAACTCGAATAATTCAAAATTTTTAATAATTGGTATATTGAGTTTCAAGTTCGAGTCGAGTCCCTCAACTCTACATAATATATTTCACATATAAAGAAATATATATATATATATCGTATATGGTTATAAAAATTTATTTAAATTAGAATCAATCAATATCATAATATTATAAATATTTACAACTAAATTTAAACATAATCTCAAATAACTCGACTTAACTAAAAAAAATAAAATAAAATTTAAATTATAAAATAAGACTCATTAATTTAATTACATTTGTTAACTCAATTTAATTCGATCAAATATTTATACCTATTTGATGTGACCTGATTGTTGCTAGTTCATAACGGGATGAAATCTGCATGTATATATATGGTATTTAATTTACTGTGGGAAAAATAATAAGAGTGTCAGTGGCTCCCCTTTTAAGTGGCTGAAGTGCGGGTGGTTTGTGCATGGCTAAATTGACGGGATAATATTGTAAGAAAAAAAAATTACGAGATAATACGTTCTAATAATTAATTGTTGAGATATGATGTTTGCTATATTTCGAATGTAGGTCGCCAGGTGATTTGGGCGACCAAAGAGGTCGCTATGCCGTCCCTACGTCCCACCAAGAAGGTCGCCATGTATGCTGGGCGCCATGCAGTGAAAGTTTCAATGTAGTGTTATCTCTTCCTAGTCAAACACTAGTTGTTTGGGTTAAATGCAAATTTAGTCCTCATAACTTTGCACTCTCATATCCATGTTTTAATATTTAGGGGATAATAGCATTTTCGGTCCCCTATGCTTTGTAATGTCTTTGTTTAATCATTTAGTGACATTTTTAATGTTTTGTTTCAGGCATGTATATTTTAATAATTATATTTTAGTCACTAGTTGTTTATTATGTCAAGTTTGTGTATGCTTCTTTCTGATCATAATATTTTTAGTTATTTCATTTTAATCACTAATTTCATGTGTTTTATA